TTTTATTTTCTTCAAGCAACGGGAATAGCAATTCTTGTTGACATTTCCAGGAGGGGGCACTGTCGGCAAGAGTATGGAAAGCGACGTGAGTCAGGGGATTTAGTCAAATACGGTTATTTGAAGAGCTGCGGGAGGCGAATGGTTAATCGCTTAGAGAAATAACTTGAAGGAAATTAACGAAAGGTGAACGGACCGGTTCAGACGGGTCGGATATCACGGGGTGATGTTTTTTGACGGTGAACGCAACGCAGTGGGTGCGGAAGCAAAAAGTATCACATGTGACTCTTTACCTGGAATGTGTGTGCGCGCACGTGTGTGTGTGTGTGACCACGTGAGTCATTGAGATTCAATAAAAAAAATTTAAAAAAAGCTGTCCTTAAAAAATTTACATACACAAAAACATACACACACACACACTCCACAGGTCCTTGTTTTATTTTTAGTCTCACCACTGTTGCCATGGCGATACTGGAAAGCTATGAAAAATAAGAACTCATAGGGCAGCGGTATCCGTGGCAACACGTCGGGCCTCGTTTGGTGGCAACTGTTTGAGGAGACAACTCGTACGATGTACAGTATGAAAATATTTTGAGCCGAGGATTTTGAAGATAAAAAAGTATAAACATTACTGGTAACTACACGTGCGTTGGCGAGAATCTGGCGATACGCATCGCAATACGATACGGGGGCGACAATACGATGTATCGTGACGCTATAGGCAGCGATGGAGGATTTTGACACGGTATCGGGAAACGAAGTATGTGGATATCTACTGTAGTACACACTGTAGTACACAATACTTGTTAACCCTTGTTGGTGTAGCCCTCAGAGAGACGATGTTTCGGGGTTTCTTTAACAGCCCTACATTTGTTATTTCAACACCTGCCCCTCGAGTCACAAATATGTGGGCAGTGGACCGAGACGTCATCCTACCTGGACCTGGACCTGAACTCGGTCATATATTGACAATGTCACATATTGACATTTGTTAAATGATGCGTCACAGCTCCGGAGGTGAGAGTGTGGATTAAAATTAATCCACATTAATCATTTGACAGCCGTAGAATAAACATGAATTAAAAAAAACAAAAACGCTTCAGGTTCTGAACACCAGCGGTTTGAAAAGGTGCAACCGCGGAAACTTCTAGGCCCTCGGCTAATAATAATATCACGTCAAATTAATTTGATGTGAATAATAATAATTTTTTCGTAATAATCATCAGTCATCTAATCTGCCCGGTTACTTCCTCATCCTATCCGACATTGGACAACAATAAATATCCGACCTTGCTGACTCTGCACCTCTGACCTTGAATAATTATTTCCACACAGAGAGAGAGCGGCAACCATCACCTGACCAGTCTTTACTGTAACTCTGCAGTAATATGTCAGGAATCTGGGATCGGTTTTCTGGGGCCCGTGAACCAAAAAAACGCCGGTCTCTGTGACGGGCCCGGCGTCTTCTGACTCAGGCTGGATCTCGAGTGGGAGTGAGTCACAAGGTTCATCGTGGAGCGCTCATGTACACAGTAAGGCCCTGCACAAAAGCCAGTGTGTGTTCTGTCATCCGCAACAATGTGTCACAGCGGGCGGGGCCGGAACGGGAGACGTTAAAGGGGCAGCGAGCGTTGCATAAGGAGCGTGTGTGTGTGTGTAGCAGTGGTAAATAATGAGGATTTTCCCACGTTTTTTTTCCTTTCAATGTGAGTACGCTAAGGGGCTGCAACCTGCGGATCCCGGGTCTGGGTCTGTACGTAAACAACAGCCCGAGGCTAATGTAAAGAAACATGTTTTTTTTTTTTAAACCATTACATCAGCACATTTCGTTTGTGTGAAGGAATGTTAGGGCAGTTGGACAGTTAGACCTAACGCACCACCAAAGGTCGGTGCAGACTAGTCCACCAGTCCATCCACTGTCTGCTTCACATCAACGTCACACGTGTTTCCACGTTCATTTTCCGCTAAATGGGAACAACAACAACAAAAAAACCTACTGAGACTCAGTTTAAAAACTGCAGAATACTCAGTATTTTTTTTTCTTTCCTGGACACAAAACGTATTACACAGCAGGATCGCAGAGATAGCAGTACTTTCCCTGCATACTTTTGTACCAACTTGTACTTACGCAAATCGCAACAAAATAAAAGTACAAATCCTGTATGTGTGTATTTACGATACAAATAAAAATGGCTAACTCTGCACTGGGCACAACGTCACAGTCACATTTTTTCCTGCTGTGTTTTGACCCCTGAACGCAGCACAACAATTCAACCGAGTCCTTAAACACAACCTAAAATACCTGTACGATGTTTTTCCAACTTCTGAGGGTCAACTTTGACACCAGTTTCGTGTACACGGACCAGTATTTTGATTGGTATTTCCAAGATACTCACTAAGGTACTAGTACCTCGGGACTCTCGTGGTTATCACAGTGAATACTGCCTCACCTGTGATCAACCCCACAGAGCGTGTTTTTATAATAATGCGGGTCATTATCGTACACGTTCTCGTCTAGTTACGGTTGACCACAGTTGATCAACAACGCGTTACAGTCCTTGGTGTCGGTTGGTAAACCAGCGGAATTAACCTCGAACCTCTTCCTCGATCAACACAACCACAACTTTATTCCTGCTTTAACTGGGGAGACGGGGGGGTCACGGCAGAGTCCCACAGTTTGAGAACCCAAGATCAGTAGAGCCACTTCATTGTTCCACCTCCCCCATCCCCCCTTCCTCAACTACATTTTGCCCGGAGCCTTCTTAAAGGCACAGAGTGGTGGGGCAAGTTGAGGAACTAGGAGGAAATCAGAATCAAAAGGAAAAGACACTTTCCAAGAGGGGGAAATGTGGAGGAAGAGAGTCGGAAGGGGAGCTACAAATCACTGAAGCCGGGGGTCGGTGGAGGGACCTCACGGTTATCGGAGGACCCCGGGGGGGCGGGGGGAGGCTCCTGGCCCCAGATAATGTCGGTCATATTAGTGGGTGAAGAGGGTGCCGTGTCTCCAGAGGTGGTCAGTGGGGGGAAAAAATGGGTCAGTTGTAGCAGAAACATGACAGATGGTGTGATTGTGCAAAAGGTCCGATAAACAGAGAAAGACGCAGCCGAGTCACTAACGTGTTATTAACGTAAAAAAAGTGGTTTAGTTGATTTTGAATCTTGAAGAAAACGCATTTTTGTTTTGTTTTGTCTTTCAGGTCGACTACAATACAGAGGAGAGAGGAGCGGGTGACAGACACACGTTAACCCGAAACAACTGTGAGGCTAAACGCCATTTAGTTCGGTAACGTCTGCTCCCTGGCGTCCTCCAGACAACACAAACACAGACACACACACACCGAGGTCACATGATGAAATACGAGGGGCTCTGACCTGCTCGGACTCCGAATCATATTCCTCTTCGTCTCCGCTCAGTGACAAGGCCATGGCTCCTCTTTCTCATCGTTTGTGAACAGCGAAGGAAACTAACATGGCTGAACAGGACTCCGCCAACACAGCTCTGGCCCCCCGCCCTCCCTCCAACACGGGCCGTGCTGCGTTCGCGGCGAGTAAACAACAACAACACTCACCATCACTAACTAATGCTTATTGTTACATACACCTACCGCGAAATAAGCAACGCAAATAAATTAAAATAATATATTTAATATTCTAAAGATACACGTGATTATATTTTGAAATAAAAATATAAAAATATAAGGGTGAAACCAGGTATGGTGTGGCGTTTTAAAAGAAGACATTTACATTCCGTGAGCTTTAAAGTAGCGCGAATGTGACAGGAAACAAAGATTACGCATCAAAACAAGATAGTGAACCTCCTGGTCCCTCATAAACCGCCGTTTGTTTGTTTTTTAACAACATTCGCCAAATATGTCAGGGGTTAATCACATCGCTATACTTACATTACTGTGAATTTTGTTAGTTTTTTCACAAGGTAAACTCTCGAGCTGTTTTTTATTTAAAAAAAACATTATCCTGAGCGCTAGCCAAAAATAAAAAATACAAACACGTACCCGTGTTTGTCTAAATGCGCCAAAAATGTAACCGTAAATATTGAAGCGTTCGCTTCGTGTATACGAGTATCACCTTCATTTTTCACTCCAAATGTTTTCGTAACATATTTTACACTACATGCCCTGTCCTTCTTTGTTTATTACATTTTCCATCTCCTTTGCCGCGCTCCCACACTTGTACTGTCTGATAAATACCGCCGGGAGAAACGCGTGACTCAGCGTTGACCTTGAGTCATTTCATTTTTCATGTAACTTGTGTACAAAGACAAACAAGAGAAAAAGACAAGAGTGAGTTTCACAGTGACTCATCTCATAGCCTGTCTCAGAGTGTGGGGTTTTTGAAACGGCACCCTTTGGCGCCATCTATTGCCCGGGTTGCAAATAACAATGTTAAACAAAGCAGTGTGTTGCTGCGTAGCACTAAACAGATAATAAAAACAAACAGAAATTAATATCTGAAAAAAAAATATTATATTACATATCGTATATATCGTTATATATTATATAATATATAAAAAGCATGTAAATAATACTACTACAATGCACTACAACAAAAATATATTATATATTCGTGAAAATATATTTTTGCACAGCTTTAATAATTTTAACAGGTTTCCCTTCAAAATGTTTTTTTAACCTAATTTCTTTTCAGGGTTAATTAAAACCTGATCAAATCAAAAGGAAACACGTGACACAGATGTAACGATAAAACTGGTCTGTCTTAAAAAGAATTTGAGTTGTTGCTTTAACCGCTAACATTGTTACAAAACATACCTGTGTGAATTACGGAGTATATATTACACATACAATGTATAGGGATACATATATATTTATATAAAATATATTTATATGTTTAGACAAAAGGATTTGCAAATAAACGTGTTGGGGTTTTTTTTGTTTGTTTTTTTTACCACGTATTGTCAACTGAAATTCCGGTCACAGACACAGGGTGGCGCCCCGGTGAGAGTGCTGGACTGGACTGTTTGCGTCTTGTGTTTCCTGATAGACAGACAGTCAGCTGCTGCTGTTGCCTACATACTTTGACACAGTTTGACGCTGAGGTTCTAACCGTCGTCGGATGAGAACCTTTGAGAACGTCGTCTTCTCTGTGCACCGTCACCGAACCTTCGCCCTCCTCACCCGGTGTAATCTGAATTGGAGCTGCAACTTTGTGGAGGATTTTAAACAAACGAAGGCCAAAAAAAAGTGCAACGGAACAACTTTTACGGAATGAGTTTGAACGAGCACTCGCTGCAGGCGCTGTCCTGGAGAAAGCTCTACCTGAGCCGAGCCAAGCTGAAAGCCACCAGCCGAACTTCTGCTCTGCTGTCCGGCTTCGCTATGGTGAGTCTCGGTGAGTGGTTGGTTATAGCTGCGCCGCTTCACGTAACTTACTAAAGTAACCACGAAAGTTTTTTTTACAGCAGAGCCGCGGACACGGTGTGTGACGCACATTACTGTTGTGTTTTTTTTTTTTTCCCCGGGCTTAACGAGTCTGTGGAGCGGCGAATAAAACCGTTTACCAAACTTTTCACAACACGAAGCTAAAGTACTTTTTCAGAGTCGGAAAAAAACCCTCACGACTGTAGGGTTTCCGTTATTTTTCTTTAAATATGGAGTGAGCAACATTGAGACAACTTTTTTTGTTGTTGTTGTGTTGATGGGCAGGACAAGGTGCATGAGACGAAGGACTGAAAACTAGTCAAAAGTTAAAATAAAAAGTATTTTTCCTCGTCATTAACCATTTTACCACTGTGGTTTGAACTTCCGGAAAGTTGTCACTTGTGGCAGACAACTTCCTCCTTAAAGTTACTTTTAATAATAATAATTAAAAAATACTTTGTGAGTCTCGTAGGCTAACTAGCTAGCTCATTAGCTATATTTACGACAAGAAGATTTATTGTTTTATACTAAATTCCGGAGCAGCAGCAGCAGCCACCCGGTTAAACTTGCTAACGGTTAGCCTCCAAAATACCTGTAAAGCCGTTTTTAACTTTTGTCGTACTTTCGCAACGTTTCTACGTTTTCAGCCTTGAATTCTAAATGTATTCACATTTTTTTTAAAATGTAATTTTTTTTCAGTCAGTTTTGGTCTGGAGTTTCTGAGTGAATAAACACATTTTAGTCGTTTCGAATTTCCTAGGAATGAGTTGTTTTAAAAGTGATACATTTCTCATGTTATCCTTTGTTTTTGCCACCAGGTGGCCATGGTGGAGGTGCAGCTGGAAGCGGACCATGAGTACCCCCCAGGTCTCCTGATAGCCTTCAGTGCCTGCACCACGGTCCTGGTTGCGGTGCACCTGTTTGCGCTCATGATCAGCACCTGCATCCTGCCCAACCTGGAGGCCGTCAGCAATGTCCACAACCTCAACTCCGTCCACGAGTCCCCGCACGAGCGCATGCACCGCCACATAGAGCTGGCATGGGCCTTCTCCACTGTCATCGGCACGCTCCTCTTCCTGACTGAGGTCATGCTCCTGTGCTGGGTCAAGTTCTTGCCCCTGAAGAGCAAGTCGGAGGAAAACAACGGCAAAATCAGTTCCGGCGAGGCGGCGGCCATCGCCTCCACCTGCATCATGGTGCCATTTGGGATCGTTTTCATCGTCTTCGCCATCCACTTTTACCGCACCTTGGTCAGTCACAAGACGGACCGGCAGATCCGTGAGCTGGAGCAGGTGATCCGCCTCCAGAACCAGCTGGACCACAGGGCCGAGAACGAGGACCTGAAGGCGGCGGTCCACTTCGCCTGATTGCGGTCGGACGTTTGGACTCAGTGAAGATACTTGACTGTGGTAAAAAAAAATTTCAGTATTTATTATGATTTTTAAACATTTAAGAAAAAATTTAAAAACTTCAAATTTATTATATACATAAACAAAATAGACAAAAATATGAGGAAAAATATCAGAACAGTGATGTCCTTGATTTTTAAGTGTACACCAGGGGGCCTCAAACTCTCAGTCCACGGGCCACTTCCGGCCTGCGAACCCTCAGTTGACATCTGGCCCATAATCAGATGTAAAAAATAAATAAATGAATGGTTATTTTTAGTAACTAAAATGTTAGTTAAATATTTTTACTATGTCAGTGTTGAAATATATATATTTTATATATTTCAAACAAAAATACTTATTTCTCTAAATGATCTGCGTTTTTTTTCTTCAACATCAAACACTGAAGTGACCCCCCCGACCTCCTGCCCCCCAGCTTTGAGACCCCTGGTGTACACTGACAGTTTGTTACATACTGTAAGTCTTGTTGTCTACATATGTTATACACGTTCCGGGGTACTCCGTTTTAATACTTCATAACAGAAAGATTTCAACCAGGAAATACTTTGGAATACGTCCATTCAAAAAAAATTTTTTGCAATATTTGAACGGTGAAAGGGTTTTGACAGTCGTAGGACGGAGTCCGATACCTGGTCATGGTGAGACTATTTACTGGTTAGTTACATAGAGTTTGTTACGAATCCGGTTTGTGCCTGTTTGTTTAGATGACGTCATTTGTTTACAGCATGTTCAGACGTTGTGTAGTTTATAAGTGTGAAGTGAACTCGCCAAAGAAAAGAAAAAAATCCCACAATATGCGTCCATAATGTATATATATTGATATAGATATTGACTGATGTATTGATTAGATTTGTCACATATCTGTACACCAGGGTTTTTTCATGTTTGTTTTTTTTAACCACGTGTTTAATCCAAACACTGTAAAAACTCCGGGTCATTTTTCGTTACAAAAAAAGTTGCCTGTTAGCAAAAAAAGTGCCAGTTAATGAAAGTCATATCATGAGTCCATCCGGTGGTTTATTTATTGCACCCTCTGTGTCAGTGAAGGTATGGAATGATGCTTTTTTAATTATTATTATTATTGCATGCCTTTAAAAATGTTTTATCAACAAACACTGTGTTATTGTCTCATTAAGTTTGAGCAGCCAATGACACGACGGCAATGATGCTCCTCCACAGCTGGTGGAGGCAGTCTGAATAAAACACATTTGACTTTATTGGTGCAAATGCTTTGTTTCCTATTCTAATAATATATATATATATATATATATATATGTGTGTGTGTGTGTGTATATGTGTGTATATATGTATATATGTGCATATATATGTATATGTGCATATATATGTATATGTGTATTTGTATACATGTGTGTATATATAAATGTGTGTATGTGTATATACATGTGTATATATATATATGTGTGTATATATGTGCATATATATGGATATATGTATGTGTGTATGTGTATACAGTATATGTGTATATATGTATGTGTGTATGTGTATATATGTATGTGTGTATGTGTATACAGTATATGTATGTGTATATACAGTACATGTGTATATATGTATATATGTATGTATACATACACATATTTGTGTATGTATACATACATATATATTTATATGTATATAAATATAAAACCCATGGGCCAAATGTCAAACACTGTATGTCCAATACGTCCACTGTGTCCACAACAGTCAGACAGGACTGTGGACTGACTGATATTGTTGAGGACGAACGACTGGACTAACGTTTCTACCAGACGTCCATCAGGACCAGGATCTGTAGATACTCCACGCTCTTCAAACTCGTGTTCCTGTAAAACCGATTCCAACAATAACAACGCGGCCGCTTCCTTCATGCTAAGTGTTTTTTTTGTCTCTGTTTTCACTCCTGAGCGTTCCTCGTTCACTTTCTGCCGCGGGACAAATGGACGAGTGTCCCTGGCTGTGTGTACACCGGAGAGAGAACCCAGACATAAACAAAGATGAGGACTGGGGGGGTGGATGGAGGAATATGCAATAAATACAGATTATTATCTATTAATTAAATACATTAAATATTATTAGTGATAATAATATTTTCGACTTTATTAAATGTCAAATTTCTTGTCAAATTTCAAGGTGATTCATTTTATTAGCTTTCGAATTTTAATCCTAACATAATTTAAAAATTAATTGTTAGGAAAATGGAGTAGCAAACTCACATCGTAGTATAAATATCGAACACCGATGGTG